CCCCAAAACCCCAAAACCCCAAAACCCCAAAGGATGTAAATAATATAGAGAATTATTATTTTTAGAGAAGGTAAGCTATTTATATATAATTACATTGAGATTACTTTATATATGTGGGTTCTGTATAATTCAGTTAATTATTTCAGGGGGATCTGCAGGTTCTGAAGTTGGTACCGTAGTTGCCCTAGTGGAACAAGTCTTGATATCATCGAATTCTGCCAGCTGAAGAGCATTATTATTTTTATATCTCTTCTAATTTCTTTAATGTATAAAGTATTTTTGAGGGTTTATCTGATGAAGTCGGATGTACCAAACTATTGGTAACAGCAAAAATACAATGTTAGATTTTATGACGTTCATCGATGATACTATGCACACTTTTTGAGGTTCATTAGGTCTAATTGACTCATTGTGCAAGAGGAAGTTTAGTACAAATTCCAAGGAATAAAATACTATCAATACGATTCCGTTAAATAAATCTATCTGTCACTGCCAATAAAACTTTTTCCTTGGTAGATACTATCTAACTACAAATAACAAGATTTGCGTCAAAATATAGCAGCCAATTATCACAAACCATAATTTTCTTATCAATGTTACTTCAATCCCAATATAAGTAAATAAGTATATCAGTATGAGATTAATTAGTAGAAGAACTACAAATGTCATATGAAGTCTATTCCTTAGACACTTCATTTACCAGCTAAAGCCAATGTGAAAGAATAAAATATCTGTAAGAAAAAACACAATACCGTTCATTAACGCCTAAATAAATTAGAATAGAAATATTGCTGCTGGAGTTGAGGCCAATACTATCCCCACATAATACACTAGAAACTACATTATTGAGAGAATTGATAAGACTAATAGCTTTTTAGTTGGAAGAGTCACATACACTCCTTTTTTTTTGACAACTGATTTCTTACTCTGAACAAAAATCGTAAGAACTATTGTTGCAATGTGAGCTAAACTACTTACTGTAAGTGTTGTATATTTCTATCCATCTATTCTACAATCTACTCCCGCAATAAACTACTAAATTGAAGCATCGATTTAATATAATGACAAATTCTAAGATTAAGGAATATCTCCTCCTATTGCATAGCCGAATGGGATATCTGGAAGACTACTATCGTAACATATATCTGTGTATGGCTTTCCCTGATTAAGCACTAACATTTTCAATGATTTGAATGTTTAATCAGCATAAGAGAGTTTATTACAAGAGCCTTTACCATCTTCAAATTAGTTCTTTGTAATCCAAATAAATTTGACTGAGTCTCTTAAATTAAATGATATTTTATTGTAGCAATTGGAATAAAATTCAGATTCAGTTTTAGCGAAGCATATGTAGTTATTCTCTGCCTCGTACCATTCATAAAGATGACTCATTTTTCTTAAAGAAACTACTTAATACTAATCTCAACTTGTGATATTTGTAAGTATCAAATAAGGGTGAAAGTCAAAAAAATGTGCCTAAGCCAATTGTAAGTATAATAGGGCAAAATTAAGAATTTTTAAAGGTAGCAATTATCTTGGAAATGGAACCTATAAGTTTGTTTTTTAATCCATTTATTACAGTTAATATTTCATTTGTAAAGACTTCGAATAATATATAAAACCCCTAGAGTCAAACAAACAATTTGAAATAATTATCTTTTGACTCTAGGGGTTTTGGGGTTT